CATCAAATAGCAGCGCCTTTTGGGCAAGGGATATATCCTGTGGCCCTGTCAGATCAGATATGTTTGCAGTGCCCAAATAGTAGCAGATAGCAGAGCTTAGCCAGTGGTCTTACCAGATAGTAGAGCAAGCTGCACCCAAATTCAGAGTAAAGACAGCAGCCCAGCTATCTAGAGAATCTAAAAGCAAGTTCTGCCCACTCAAGTTTATTGCCAGCTGGTCCATTCAAAATCTTTAGATAGACTAACAAGTGAAGGTGTATTCCTGCCGAAGAACAGTAAAACCTGAAAAGGTGGCTGTCTCTGGAAATGTTTAAACACCAGTGCAAGAATACAAAAATTACGAAAACTCAGGAAGTCATGGCACCTCCAAAAGGAATTAACAAAGTTCCAACAATGGACCCTAAAGAAAGGGGGAATCTATGAAATGAAAAAAAAATCTGAATGGTTTTTTAATTTTATTTTTATTTTTTGAGTTGGAGTCTCACTCTGTTGCCCAGACTGGAGTGTAGTGGCTGCTCCTGGCCACCACAGCCTCGACCTGCTGGGCTCCAGCGATCCTTCCACCTCAGCCTTCCAAGTAGCCGGAATTACAGGCATGCACTACCACGCCCAGCTGATTTGTTTTTTTTATTTATTGTAGAGATGAAGTGTCGCTGCCCAGGCGGGTCTCGAACCCGTGGGCTTAGGCAATCCACTCACCTCAGCCTCCCAAAGGCGCGGGATTACAGGCTGAGCCACCAAGCCCGGCTTGAATGATTTTCTTTACAAGGTTCAGTTAACTTCAAGAATATACAGATTAAAAAATAAAGAAAATTTGACAAACAATATGTGAACAAATGAGAAGTGACAAAGAAATAGAAACAATAAAAAATAGAATCCTAGAGGTGAAGCATACCATGGGTAAACTGAAAAATTCAAGAGAAAGCTTCAATAGCTGACTCAATCAAGTTAAAGAAGCAATTAGTGACCTCAAAGACAGAACATCTGGAATTACTCAATCATAAAAGCTAAAAGAAAAAAAAATGAAACAGAATGAAGAAGGCCCATGGGAATTATGGGACATCATCACGAAACTTAACCTATACAGTATAGGTATACCAGAAAGAAAATAAAGAGAAAAAGGGCCAGGAAGCATATTTAAAGAAATAATAGATGAAAACCTTCCAAATCTGAGTAAAGAAACCAACATTCAGTTACAGTAAACAAAGTTCATCAATTAAATTCATCCCAGAGTAGTTTACCAAAATATAAAGTCAAATTATCAAAAATCAATAAAAAATTTTGAGAGCAGCACAGTCTCATCACTTCTATTCAGCATAATATTGGAAGTCCCTACCAGAGTGATAAGAGAAAGAAATAAAAGACATCCAATTTGGAAAGGAAGAACTGAGACCATTGGTGTTTGTTGATGACATAATATTTTATAAAGAAAACTCTAAAGAATCTACCAAAAAAAGGTTACAATTGATAAATTCAATAAAGTTGCAGGATACAAAATCAACATGCAGAAATCAATAGTGTTTTTCTAAACTAAGAATAAATTTAACCAAGATGGTAAAATACTAAAATACCAAAAATTATAAAACATTAATAAAAAGAATGGAAGATGATGAAAATATATAAAATAAATTGAAAGACATTATTGTGTTTATGGATTAGAAGATTTAAAGTTGTTAAAATGATCACACTACCTAAAGCAATCTCCAAATTTAATGCGATAAAATAATTAATCCTTAATAAAATTTCAATGTCATTTTTTTATGACTATAGAAAAAAAATCCTAAAATTCATATGGAACCACAAAACACTTTGAAGAGCCAATGCAATTACAAACACAAAGAACAAAGCTGGAGTCATCATACTACCTGTCTTCAAACTACACTGTGCTACAAAGTGATAGTAATTAGAACAATATGGTACTGGCTTAAAAACCGACCAGTGGAACAGAATAGACAGCACAGAAATGAACCCACAAATCTGCAGACAATTGATTTTTGACAAAGGTATCATGAATGCACAATGGGAAAAGGACAATCTTTTCAATAAATAGTGTTGGGAAAACATAATATACATATGCAAAAGAATAAAATTAGGTCATTATCTCACATCATATAAAAATCAGTTCAAAAATAGATTAAAGCCTGAACATAAAACGTGAAAGTCTAAAACTACTAGGAAAAATAAAACTGGGGAAGATTTATATAACATTTCTCTTGGTGGTGATTTGTTTTAGATTTGGCGCCAAAAGTACATGCAAGAGAAGCAAAAACAACAAAATAAAATTGCATTCAAATAAAAAGCTTCTGCATAGAGAAGGAATTAACTGAGTGAAGAGACAACATATATATGATAAGAATTAATATCCAAAATATATAAGGAACTCAACTCTATAGAAAGAAAACAAAGAACCTGATTTAGAAATAGGCAAAGGACCTGAATAGATATGCCTTTTTTTTTTTAAGATGTAGGGTACAATTCATTTGTAGGTATACAAATGTTCATTTTGCAGGTACCCTTGTTGATGGAGTGTCCCCCTGCCTCCCCTGGCAGTTTCCCATTCCTGCCAATCCCTTTCTTATAGTATTATGATAATTGTTCAAGGTCTGCTTATGAGTGAGGACATGTGGTACTCAGTTCTTTGTTTCTGTGATAGATCACTCAGTATTATAGACTCTAAATCCATCAGAGTTGCTTTTTATTTGGATTTCTGTTTGTTTATTGCAGTGTATAGAAATGTGACTGTCTTTTGCACATTTATTTTATACCCTGAGACTTTGTCAAAGTCTTTTATTAGTGCAGTGAGGTTTTTGACAGATTCTCTTGAGTTTTCAAGGTATAGAATCATGTCGTCTGCAAAGAGGGATAACTTAACTTTCTCTTTTCCTATTTGGATACCCTTGATTTCCTTCTCTTGTTTGATTGCTTTAGCTAGGACTTCCAATACTGTGTTGAACAGGAGGGGTGAGAGTGGGCTTCCTTGTCGTGTTCTAGTATTTCAGGGGAAATGTTTCCCAATTTCTGTCTGTTTAGCAGTATGTTGGCTGTGGATTTCTCGTAGATGGCTCCTGCTATTTTGAGGTGTGTTCCATCAATGCATAGATGTTCGAGGGTTTTATGAAGAAGGGGTGCTGGATTTTATCGAACGCTTTTTCTGCGTCTAATAGATATGTCTCAAAGGAGGCTAACAAAAGGCTAACAAAAGCCTTAAAAAGTGCTCAACAGCACTAATCATTAGGGAGATGCAAATGAAAATCACAATGAGGTATCACTCACACCTGTTAGAATGGATATTATCAAAAAGACAAAAGGCAACAAGAGTTGGTGAAGATGTGAGCAAAAAAGGAATCTTGTACACTGTTGATAGGAATGTACATTAGTATAACCATTATGGAAAACTGTATGGAGGTTTCTCAAAATCCTAAACATTGAATTATCATATGATCTGGCTATCCTGTGTTTGGGTATTAAAAATTTTTGAAAACGGTATTTTGAAAAGATGTCTGCATTCCCATGTTCATTGCAACACTACTCCCAGTAGCTAAGTTATGATTTCAGCCAAAGTGTCTATCAACAGATGAATGGATAAAGAAAATGTGGTATACATACACAATGAAATACTATCCAGTCTTAGAAAAGGAAGAAATTTTGTTACTTGCGACAACATGTAAAGAATAGAAGAATGTTATGTTATGTGAAATGAGCCAAACTCAGAAAGACAAATACCACAGATTCTCACTTAAGTGTGGAATCCCCAAAAATTGAACTCATAAAAGTAGAAAATAAGATAGTGGTTATCAGGGGCTGGGTGGCAGTAGCAATGCGGGGGTGGATAATAATCAAAGGGTACAAAGCCTAAGTTTGATAGGAAGAATATGGGTTCGAGACGAACCCAGGCAATGTGGTGAGACCTCATCTCTACAATAAATAAAAAATTAGTCAGACGTGGTAGCACACGCCTGTAGTCCTGGGTATTTGGAAGGCTGAGGCAGAAGGATTGCTGGCGCCTGGCAGGTCGAAACTGGGGTGGCCATGAGTGTGCCACTGCACTCCAGTCTGGGCGACAGAGTGAGACTCCAACTCAAAACGTAAAAAAGAATAAATTTAATTTGTGTGTGTGTGTGATCTATTGCACTATGTGGTGAATAGAGCTAATACTTGAGTACTATACATGTCAATGTCATGCAGAGAGTAAAACCCAAATTTTCTCATGACATAAATTGTCAAATATTTGAATTGATAGTGAATCAGCTTGATTTAATCCTTCTACCTTATATTTTAAAAAACATAGCATCACTTTGTCACCACCTTATGAGTATAAATTATAATTTGACTATATGTAATAATTTTTTTTTAAATGGGTGAGTTATGGGGATAAATGGAAAATAAAATGACAATATGAACGTATAGTCTATTCCACAAGTTTTATATAGTTTCTAAATGTGGCCCGTGAATTTGCCTTTAGCACCAGCAAAGAATGAAAAAAGATGAGCAACAAGATGCATAGTTACCAAAATATGGAAACAAACCCATTCTCAGGAAGGTCACAACTGAGTCCTGGAAAAAATGTCACATACGACTCTGCATCCTCAGAAGTATGCCAGTGTAATTTTCACTTTTATTTCATTCATTCACTTTTTATTTACTTATACAATTTTCTAGGCAGTTTCTATTGGTTAGGCACTGTGTTGTCTGCTTGGGGAAAGAATAAAACATAATCCATGTCTTTCAGATAACCAGAGTCTAGAGTAAAAGAAAAATGTCCGTCTCTTTCTTTGGCCTTTACCTACTTCATCAAGTGTGGAGTAAGAGAAGAACCCAATGATAGGCAGAAGCAGATTTGTAATGAGGTTGCAATGAGTGATGAAACCTGTAAGAGGGTTAGAAAACACAAAAATAAAGCATTCGTGTAGGTTGATAGGAGTCACAGAAACACCACTTATTCCTTTGACTTGACTGCATCTTTTTCTACATATGAACCTTCTAGTTGCAAACTTTCAAAGATGCAAACGTGTGTTCGCAAATCCAATCATGTAAGTTAGTTCACATGTCTGCCATACATTATCACATGCTGTCCTGTGAGATTAGAAGTGTTTTGGTTTTTGTGTTTGTTTTTATGTATTGTTTGTGTGAAAGGTATTATACACCTATTACAGAATAGTACTATATAGCCAATTGTGTTAGTTGGGTACCTAGGCTAACTTTGTTGTACTTACAAATAAATTGGACTTATGAAAGTGCTCTTGGAATGGAACTTGTTTATATCTAGGGAATTTGCTGTAATCTGTAATCTGAGGCTGCCTCTGGAAGAACTGAACTCAGTATGGGAGGTTCCTTGGGTTCTTTGGAGATCTTGGCAATGTGGCACTAAAGGGTGAGAGGGTGTTAGGGGGTGGTAAAGTCAGCTGGCTTCAAAAAGGCTCTGAACTCTGTGTGTATGCGTGTGTGTGTGTGTGTGTGTGTGTGTGCGCGCGCGCACATGCGCACACATATATTTATCCCATCACAAAGGGAGTACAACTGGCTACCTGATCAAAGATTACCCTTTCTCCTCTGTAAATAACCCCTACAAGTTGCTCACAGATTTTTACTAATTGCTTTTTCTCCTCCTTTCCTCATCTAGAGTTTATCTAATAGAGGGTGTCTCCGTCTGTTTGAACTGCAATAGCAAAATGCCATAAACTGGGTAACTTTTAGACAAAAGAACTTTATTGCTCACAGTTTGAAGGCTGGGAAGTCCAAGATCAAGATGTCATCAGATATGAGGACATGGTAGAAGCTGTGAAAGAGCTCTCTAGGACTCAGGATATCACTATGTTGCTGAGGCTGGAGTGCAGTGACTATTCACAGGTGCAAGCATAGCTCACTGCAGCCTCAAACTCATGCGTTAGATCCTCCAGCCTCAGTCTCCTGAGTAGTTAGGATGCCTGACTCCTGGCCTCTGTTAAGGCCACCAATCACCACTTTTCTTGGATAATCACCTCTCAAAAGATCCCACCTACTCATATTATCACCCTGGGGATTAAGATTTAAACATAGGAATTTTAAGGGCACACAAACATTCAGATCATTGCAGAGAGAAAACTGGCAACATCAATTTGTCACAGTGGTCATGGTCCCTGCCTAGTTATCATGGGCCTTTCTTCTCTCACTTTTAGTCATGAGCCTCTAGAGATAGGGATGTCTTGAAATATAATACATGAGCCTAAAGATAAATACATGAATGACTTTGACCACCTGGACCTTCTATTTACATAAATGAAAATCATATTAAGAATATGAATATTGGTTATGTTTGTATCCAGTGTTTGGAAATGAACAGTGTTAGTTAAATAACTCATGATGCTAGCATCTGTGTTTCATTTTTTATTTGAAATAATAGATCTCATCATGATCTTTTCTTGGCTGCTTTTGAGTAGAAAGCAGAAGAGCAAACTTATTTGGAAGTCTGGATATTGCACTTGAATTATTTAACAGATTCTACCATATGTAGTGGGACTTTGAGAATGTGTTGAGAAATAAGCATAAAAGTCTTGGACATTTTCACCCAGAGAGCAGCTCTTCCTTCTCTGGCAGTGATAAAAGCAATTATCTCCAAAAAAAATTTTTCATGAAATTTTGAAAAGTTGTAAAATCTTGAGTTTCCTAAGCAAACCCACTTATTTTTCTTTGTCTTCTTTCCTTCTTTCAGTCCCAGCAGAAGTGCATCGTGATCTTTGCCCTGGTGTGCTGCTTTGCCATTCTGGTCGCGTTGATATTTTCGGCCGTGGACATCATGGGCGAGGATGAGGATGGACTCTCAGAAAAAAATTGCCAAAATAAATGTCGGTAAGAGGTAACAAAAAAAATTCTATTTTAGGGGATGAGCAAGAAATCCAAAGAGGGCCATGAACAACGGAGAGAAAAATATCATAAATACATCCAAATCATCCAAATTCCCCTTGACTGAATCTGAGGCATGACTCTGTCTAGTGATGCTGTTGCTTTTAACCCAAGGGAATCAAAATCAATAATGATTGAATTCACTTTACAGTTTGGTCATATTCTACAAAGAGAGGTGCTCCACAGAATGAAATTCTGTAATAATCTGTATTTTTGGAGACTGCCATATATGAGATTTTGGTTTGTTCCATGATGAGCCTGGCATAAACAAGAGGACACTGCTAGTTGTTACAGGAAATGTAAGTTAAAAGACACATGGCCTAGGAAAAAGTCTAACTTAACACTGGGGATTAAAGAAGTGTGTCTGTAAGAAGACAGGCCTCCTTAGTATATTTCAATTTAGCACACACTGTGTTTTAAATCTAAAACTGACAACAGTTTTACCCATATATTTATGTAATTTGTCTCTTTAGCTACATTAAGCAGCATTTCCCCGGGGCCATTCCTGATGAGCAAAGCCATCCCATCATAGTGTCAACCCTATAAATCTTCTCATCAAACTCTTCTTTGAGCTGCTGCTTTTTTTTCTAAGTTTGGGGAGGGGGAGGAAAAATACCAAGAGGGTACAGACAAATAAGAAGTTGATTTTTACATATGCATTGCTGCCAAACTGATGTGAGACCACAAAATTACAACAGTAATAATGAACTAGAGCTTATAATGAACTTAAATTATAATTTTTTCCTGTAAAAAGCTTTAGTCTAACAGCTTCTCTTTTCTAGTTTAAAATCAACAACAACTTGCTATTGTGTATGTGAGTTTTTATCCTGGATATTTTGCTTTGTAGGTGAATGTTCTGGCACAGGAAATGTTCTGAAAAGATAGTTGGCTTATTCTTTTAGCCCATGATGCATTATAGTTTAGTTACCAGTCAACAAGTATTATATACTGAGTAGAGCATACTAAAAATAAATCAATACGCATTATAGATTTTTTTCTTCATGTTAGAAGGTATTGCATAAATACTGTTTATTTACTTTTCAGACTGGATTTGAATGAAAATTGTTTGAGGATTATTATAAGGAAAGTAAAAGAACAATAGCAAAATGCTGTCATCTTTGGCTAGTGCCATTACATCAAATATAAATGTTCCATAGTCAGGGGACCACTGACACATATTTATCGAGTGGAAACATTCTACCTCTCTCTCTCATCTCACTTTAAAATGAAGACTGCTGAGTACTTTAAATGCAAACCTCATCACCTAGAAAGCAACTTTGTAGAGGTCAAACTATAACAGCTTCCTTAAGACAAAATAACCAGAACTTTTTAATACACATCACCAAGTACTGGTAGTTTTTTTTGAAAAGGAGAGTCTTCGAAATATTTTTTTTTCACTTTGAGGAAACTATAATTTACTTTAATTTTTATTTTTAACTTATACAACTTTAATTTGGACTTAGTTATTTCTTCTATCTCAGTCAGTAACTAAATTCTGATAATGCTACATTGCTTCTCCTGTCATCTAGAGAATATTCTTCTAACTGCTTTTCCATTCTCCTGCTTCCTTTCCCCCAGGTAGTTGGAATAACTATTCTGGTTGCTAGATGCCACCCCTATATGCAGCCTTCTTTTCCAGAACACAAGCCCCCTTAGGATCCTTTTTTCTTCTGCAGCCTCTTCCCCTGTGTCCTGTGTTTCTGTTCTCCTGTATTCTTGGCCATTTCAAGAAGTGATTCTTGTATGTCTGCCCTGGAATTGGTATCTCGCTTCCCCCTAACTTCATTCTCTGGAGGCTTCTGCTTTTCCACCGTTCTCCAATGCACAGGATGAGGAAGCAGGATCACTGCAATTCTTTATACCCCAATCCAGTTTCCATACTGTCATCCCATTGTTATTCATTCCATTCTGTCTATTCCTCCCATTTCCTCACTTATCCTGAATCTATTCTTTATCTTGATTTTAGTCTTTGGTTCTATGGAAATATACAAAGACCAACCACATGAGAGCAGGAGCTATTTACTCAGAGCTTGCTACAGTAAATCTTGTCTCTTCTGTGTTATTCTCATTTTAATTTGATGAACTTTTCTTATGCTATCCACCCCTCCATATCACCAACATTATCAACATTATCATCCAACTTCCAAGATTCTATTGCACCTTTTTTTTGTGCCCAGTTAACAGACCTCCTACCCGTCATCAGTTCCATCCCTCACCAATGCCCTTAGTAACTCAAAAGTTTACTTCCTAACACGCTAGCCTTACCATTTTTTAACCACCTCAAATCAATAAATTTAATGTCCACTTTATCTGTGCACCTACCTACCAGCAAAGGGCTCCACTTCCAAGCTAACCTAATGCAGATATCAACCATGGACTCTGAAATCTGCAAAATCTGAATTCAAATCTACTTTCATAAGCTTGATAAAATAGGAATCAAATTATTCCAATCATTTTGTCAAAACACCAAGAGACTGACGAGGAGTTACAATACAGTCATAAGACTGTTGCAGCAACATGCCATGGTCAGAATTACATGGGCATGTCGGGGGTGGGCAGTCTGACATTGTGAAAGGAGTATATCTTGCCTTGGACACTGCTTTACTCCTGATGGGCTGGCTATTTTAGTTTCATTCCCCTTAAAAATGATAGATTTTTTTTTTTTTAAATCTCTCTCACAAGGTTTAATTAGTATTCAGTAAGTTATGTAAACTTGTAGCCAAGTATCAGGAAAATCATAACAAAAAATACCAAAAAATGTATACACATTTTAAGAGATGTTATCTCTGTATTACTGTTTGAAGTTGAATTGAATTATGGTAGCAATGTGTAATTGCAGAAGTCAAATGTGACTTGCATTCCTGTTTTGTTATTGGTATATATCGAATATTACAATTTTAACACAGTTTTTTTCTTTCCTAAAATGTGTGTACTTTTTTGGCACCGTCTGTATATAAATGTCAATTCCTATGCCTTCAAGGTATCCAGAAATCCTCCTCTATTCACAACTGCCTATTCCTCCCACCTCCTCACTTATCCTGAATCTACTCTTTATCCTGATTTTAGTCTTTGGTTCGATGGAAATATACAAAGACCCACCACATGAGAACAGGAGCTATTTACTCAGAGCTTGCTACAGCAAGGGAGTCAGCCACCATCATCAATTGCATTTTACAGAGACTCAAAGGCCAGCAGAAGAATCAGAAAGCTTTAGAGTGGAAAAAATCTCCAGGTGTGTATTAATTGGATGCAGTTGGATGGGTGGGGAGGCTATAGGTAGCCAGACTAGAAGTGGGACATCTTTTGTAATTGGTTAGGGGTTTGACTTTCTGTGGTTGATCCTAAGTTGGAAGTAGGGACAAAAATTAGGCAAGCTTTGTTCTTAATCAAGTCCTGGCCATTTGGCATCAATTGTTACGAAAGTTATTGTTTAGCTTCCTGGATTGTTACTAGAGATAGCAGTCTGACTTACAGTAGACTTTCTTCCATAGGTAAGGGTTGGTTTCTTGAGCAGGTTGCTGCAGATTATGGGTCAGAGTTCTATCTTTGTATGTGGTTTGGCCATTGTCCATTTGTTTAAGTCTCTCAGTTCACTGAACCTCCTTCCTGTACTGTCGGCCCTTTCTGTTGTAATTTTCTTCTTACCCATTTGCTAGACCATGACTGGCATTTCTCAGTGCTTTCTGTGGCATCCTAATATCTTACTTGCTTTTTCTGGGGTTTTTTGCCTTAACCACGCTGCAGTTCTTAAACTGATTGATTCTTCATTCCACTCATCCTTGTCCTCAGGGCAGCCTCAGGGCTTTTGCTCCAAATCAGCCTTCAGGGGAAAGTGAGTTCCACTGCTTTTTAGTTCTAGGTTCCTCCCGGCAGGATGCCCCTGGTAGAAAAGGTGAGGCTTTTCAGGGATGAACCTACTGAGTATACAAAGGTGCTGACATAGACAAGTAGGAAAAACCGCTGGTCTGCAGAAGCACTCAAGCGTGCCATCCTCAACTTAAGCCTTTCCATAGAAAATTCCTGTCCTTCCTCTCATCACTGCATCCCTTTCCTGGCACTAACCCAAACTCTTTCCCAGACCTTTTCCTCAAGGTGGCACTAATTGCATCACATGATGCTCAGCTTCCAATTACTATTTACTTAAGTACAGTTTTCCCTTTATGCCTTTCTCCTTGTGGTGTCATTATCATAAAGAATGCTGCTTGCTCCGTTCTACCTTTGCTGAGATCTTATTACTTTGTAATTAAATTCCTTCTGTGTTTGTGGCTCTGCCCACTCCTGAAAGTTGAAAGAATACCGACATTCTAGTCTGTCAGGGTCTCAGCACAGTTTTGACAGCCTCTTCCCAAGACCTCCTCATCTACTGCACTCTTTTCTAAATAAATTATTTTAATTCATCTTATTTCTACTAACTAGTCTTTCTATTTTCTAATAGATTCCCACTCTGAGTCATACCACCCTCTCATCTTTTTTCTACTAACCAGCCTTTCTGTTTTCTGATAGAGTCTCACTCTGAATCATACTGCCCACTCAAGGTTTTTCCAACTTTTATATGTCTCTCTAAAAATTCTGTCTCCCTATCAAAAATACTAGTATCTGACTTGTTTTATTTCTTTCCCTCCTTGTATTATTTTACTGCCATATTACTGTCCTAATAATAGATAATCTTATCATAATTTTTCACACAAACCAATAAAATATCAATGGTTCCAAACTTGTCTTCCAAATCCTTTTTAATTAGCCTCAATGGTATGCCCAGTTTTAGAACTTTTTACCTCAGTAAAAGACCTTAACCTCTTTCTTTGTACTAGATTTTTGCACACTTACCACATTCCCCAATGTGTCTTTAATTGTTTGTTCAGTCCCTATAACTAAACCTCCTATCGCTCAACTATCTGAGGGAGCAAAAGAAACATTTTCTAGTTTCTACCATGAAACTACATCTC